GGGGGGGGGGGGGGGGCCACCGCCTCGGAATCGGTCGCCCCATAGGGCTCTTCCGCCGTGCATGGAATGTCCCGGAACCAAGGCCGGATTGGCTCACCTGACAGGGAACAAGGTTGAGACTCAATCATGGCACATGATAGGCAGGTGAACAAGCAAAAACTTCATTGCTCCAAACAAAGTGAAATCAAGCTACCAAATGGACTCCATCCTCTTTGCCCAGGCAAAAAGAAAGGTATATTTACAAGTAACAAAAGTAGCTGAGCGTTACAAACTCTTCTTTCCGGCGTGGTTCAAAACAACATCGGGGTTCCTCGAGAAGTCCTGGGCAACAAAAACAACAGAATCTTGCCGAGCCCGTCGGAAGCCCAAAGCCGTTAGGCTCGGGCTCGCTAATGGCCTCACAGACCACCTGCTCGCGACTGCTGGCAACCGTGGGCGATGTGATTACGCACTTATTGCCTGGCGGCGTTGTTGCGGTTGTTGGTGCGACCGCCCTTGTTGGGGGCGGCACGACCAGCACCGCCGGCACCGCCAGCACCAGCACCGGCACCGCCAGCACCAGCACCGGCACCGGCACCGGCACCGGCACCAGCGGCCTGCTGCTGGACGGGGATGCAGCCACCGAAGGGGCCGGCCTGAGCGGTGTTGCGGCAGCGGATGATGCAGATGTCGCGAGTGGAGCCATTGGTGCACTCGATGTCGTCGGGCAGGGTGGCCTTCATCTGGAACTGCTCGGTCTTGGCGGTCGACAGACCGTTGGCGCCGGGGATGTTGTCGGTGACGGTCATCGGGACGAACTGGCCGTTGCCGGTCGCGTCAACGTCGCAGATGTAGGGGCCGGCGCCGTCGGCGTTGACCTGGTGGACCTCCATGGTGACGGTGGTGCCGCCAGTCACCTTGGCAAGGGCGCCGGCCTTGATGGCCTTCTCGGTCTCGGCCTTGATGTCGATGCTGCCGGCCAGCTCAGTCCTACCGCAGACGTCGACGATCTTGGCCGAGATCTCTCCCTGGCGGATGATGGTGGCATCCTGCTGGCAGGGGCTGGGGGTGGTGCAGTTGCGGGCAAGGTCGGGGATAACTGTTGGGAGTGGTATTAGCTTGTTGTTTGCGAATAAACATGAATGGGTCCCTTGCGTGTGCTCCACACCAGCAATGACGACTTACCCTTGAAAGCAACGCTCTTGGGCGAACCAGCAATGCCGGTGAGACCCAGGAAGGTAGAGTGGGCGTTGACACCGGCCAGGGCGGCGAGAACGACGGCAGTGTAGCTGAAGAACATCTTGAAGGAGTGAGAGGAAGAAGAGGGTACAACGACCTTGTTTGGAGAAAGAAGATAAAAGATAGTCTTGTTAAGGTCAGGCACAGCCCGTGGTGAAAAGAAGAACCGCTAGGGATTTTGGGAAGGAAGGAAATACAAACAACGAGGTGGCCTCAGATTAGACTTGTTTGTGGATGTGGGAAACGGACAGAGAGCTCATGGTTGAGATGGGACGTGATGGGTTATATACATGGACGGCACATGGCTCGACGCGGACGAATAGACCCATTGACGGCCGCCACATCGGCCAGCCCCTTTTTCGCTCGGGCCCTGGCAGCGGGTCTGCCGTCAACGAGAGGTGACGGCCATGTCGAAGGCGAGGCTCTCTGGTGGTAGCGTGGGGCAGCCACACCCACCACAGAGCCGCCCCCGTCGGCGGGGCGTCACCGCCCTCGGCCTGTTGTTGGGTGCAGGGCAAGGAGATGCAGGGCAAGGATGGATGGCGGCCAGGGGCAGATCGCGGGAGGGAGGATGTTTCCCAAGGCAGCGGCGGGCGCGTGATGGCGGGCCCATCTCCAACCTCCAACGCAGCTTGTCGCATCCCGGTGGATGCGCTGGAAGTCTGGCACAGAGCCCATCCCGGACGCATCACCACACCCTCGCACACTCGATCGCGCGGGTCCACCCTCCTTGGGCCGCCTGGGGGCCTGTAGCGCGTTGAGAGGCAAACACGCACCGTTTCGCCGATGGGCGGTGCGCCACCCGGACAACGGTCGGTTGCCCATGCTAGGAGCCCATCCGAAGCAGCGGCAGAACTTCCCCAGCGGCCAGGCCGGGTGTCCCCCAGGACTGCCGCAGAGAGGGCAGCGAGTGGGCCCTGCTCGACAGGCGTTTCGAGTCGGGAGCAGAGGAAGGTCGGGCTTGGGATGGATTGATGGCTATGGGACTGTTTTGGCATTTTTGATTCATGGACCTGCATCTTGGCCTGTATGTAGTCTAGAGATGGAAGGAGCTGCCTCTGCCACCTCTGTCAGTTGAACCTGCCTGCCCCATCTGTTAAATCAAAGCCCACCGGAGCGACCCTCCCCCCCCCAAAAAAAAAAAAAGAGAAAGAAAGTAGTCGCGACTCTGCTGTCCATCCAAAGCAGACGCCACCGGACGCCAGCCTGCACAGCGCTCTGCCGTGTTCCCCACATGCAGCCCCTTGGCCAAGGAGCCTAGTCGGTCGCGGGTGTGAGGATGTGTGTGTGTGTGTGGAGCGTGACGATGGAGCTGGCGGCCAAAGAGGGAACAAAATCATGTCGTTGAGCCCCTTTTTTTTTTTAGACGAAATGGCACGATTCCTGCCGTTTCGCCCTGCCTGCACTCTGCTCCTGTCCTTGTCGCACATTGCGCCGGTCCTCCTCTGGTCCCCCTTCAACCCGTCTTTTGGATGGCTTCTCGATTGGTCGACCCAGAAGCCGGACTGCAACCCCGGCCTGCTCACCAGATCAGATCACCCAAGAGGCTCGAATCTCGCAGAGAAACATTTCGCACGGTGTCAATTCGACGGATGCCAGCATACCCCGGTCCATGTAAGAAAAAGGGATGTCACCGGACTAGCGGCAGCGGACAGGCATCCGCCATCCGATGGTCTAGTGCCATTCCGGATTAGCTCACGGCACTTGCAATCTAAACTTTTGAGGCTCTTGGCTTTTTGGTGCTTGTTTTCCCAGCAGCAGCAAAATCACTGTGCATTGTCTTGGCCAGCACTGTTATTTCAACAGTGCCAGTGAGCGACACAATGCGAAAGAGAACATCACACACGCAACCGCGACCCACCAACAAATGGCAGCCCAAAAGGTAATGAGACGAGTCCATATTTCTCGCAGCCTTTCGCGGACACAACCGCTGTCAGGCGCGCGACGACATCAGCTCCCTGCGCCCTCCCGTTTCACCTGAGCTAGGATCTGAGGCAGCGGTCGAAGGGCAGGGCCAGCAACAAGAAACGACCGACCGACTGCTGACGGATCGGGGGAAGCGCCCGCTGCCTGCGCGCATGAAGGGCAAGCCAGGCCGCGGGCAAATATTATGGATGTCACATTGTTTTAAAATAACAGCTACGGAAATGATGACAGGGGAAACAGGGGCGTTTGGCTGGGCGGGGAAACACGCCGCTTTCCAGAAGGCCAAGGTGCGGGTCCCGCGCAACGTTGGTCCACCCCGACCGACTGCTAGCCAGTTGGCATAGACGGCCTGAAACCGCAAGCCGGCCTGGCCTTGACCCCCGTCCACCAGCCAACATGGACTTTCGCCGCCCGCGGGCTGCGCGGCCCCGAAATGCGAGCCCCAACCAAGCTTAAAAGGCTGACCAAGAGAAAGTTGTTCGCTAACAGACGCCGTCGCGGTTCTGGGATTTTGTATAAATGCGAGCAAAAGCCCATTGCTGATGGTACAGCCTCAGCACCCTGGTGGCCGCTAGGTTGGAAAACCATCTGTCCATGTTTGGATGCTGGTAGGGCTTAGAAGCCACCATCTCGGCAAGCTGTGGCATCTGTCCCTAGCGCCCTCTGTCCCGATTTAGATCGGAGGATTGACGGTGCCGCCCGCCCGCAAGGATGTCTGCTCTGCGAGCCAGCCGGTCCACTTCTCTCTCGGCGCCTCTGGCCAGAATCCTGCGCAGGGTAGTGACACAGGACGGGCACACGCCACAGTCCAGGCGCCCACCCCCGCGACGAATCAATTGATAGACCAAAACGAAAATGACTTTAGGTCCTCCCCAGCTCCGTCGATTTCAACGTTTAAAGAAATAAAAACTACTTATCTTTGCGAACGATCGAAAAAGATATTATTTTGCGTTAAAATGCTATCTAAAATGCTATCTAATGGAGTTGCTTGCAGTTGCGGACGAAGCTGGTCAAACGAATCTGGCAGCCTGAGGCTCGATTTTCTACCATTTGGTGTATCAATTAATTCGTCGCGGGGGTGGCGCCCTGCGAAATAATGCAGCAGCTAGCTACCCGCCACACCTGGGCCTAATCAAGCGCGCCCGGGCAGTCGGCGCGTTTGCTTTTGTCGTGGTGGCGCATGTCATCTGGCGACCGCCGCAACCCAAACTAGTAGTGTCTACATAGCCCCTAGAACGCATCCAGGCGGGTGTGTTTGTCGTTACTGCTCAGGCCTGGCGCCATGCCGCAGCTGAGCCGGAGCAAGGGCATGCCTCTTGCAACTCTCGTTGCCCAGGGGGGCAAGAGGCGCCGCCTCGCAGGTGACGATGAGGAGGAGGAGGACGACGACGACCAAGATGAAGGGTTGCGCGGGGATCAGCTGGGCGCCGAGGAGCTGGGCCTGAGTGACAGGTCTTGGCTTCCGGGGCTCAAGCACCACTGGGACGTGGAGGATCTGGAGGCCCTCAAGATGGCCACCCCGGAGCGGCCCTATCGCATGTACCATTCCTCGGGGGGTGTTCTGAGGTCGGCGCACGGCGTCCTGATCCCCGAGCCCTACAAGCTGCGCTACGAGACCCCCGACACCCCGTGGGTCTGCCCCGTCCGCGACTGCCGCCGCCTCTTCAGCTCTGTCACCGCCATGGGCGGCCACTGGCCCAAGCACCGCGGCTGCCTCCTCAACGACAACCTGGACGGCACCTTCAGCATCGTCGGCACGTACTCGCGCATCCTTAACGGGGAGCCGAACCTTAACGCCGTCGTCATCTCGCAGGGCCCGTGCGACCCCGACGAGCCCATCGCCACCCCGCAGGTCGCCGCCTGGAACGCCGGCCGCGATGAGCACGACGTCATGACGTGCAGGAGCGCTCTCCGGATTTTCAATCCCGCTGGCTTACCGCGACCGAACCCAGTTGGCGGCGCTGGTGTCGGCAATAGTGGCAGCGGAACGGCAGCCGCCAAAGCTGCAGCGCCCGTCTCCACACCCAGCACGCAGGGCTCGACCGACGCCCCTGATATACATGCCGCCAGCCCCATGCCTGCAACTGCTGTGTCCTCTAGCCAGATGAGGCCGCGGCCGCCATCCCATGATTTCGTTGTAGAAGACTGGGAGGCCGAGCCAGGCTATATCCAGTCCCAGGAGGAGGATCATGACAGTAAGAGAATACGGCCCACCCACCCCCAACTGCATCCTTGGGCTTGCTCTCTGACCTGATCGTCCCGTGTCACCTGCCGCCCCCAGAGATCGCCTTCTCCAGTGACTATCTGAGCAAGGATCCCGTGCCAGTGGCGGACGGCATCTCCTTCCGCGTCGAGACAATAAGCCCCCACACGGGCCGCAGCTTCAAAGTGATGCAGACGGCGACCAGGATCTGCTCGCTGGCCAGCGGCAAGCTCATTGTGCGGCTCCAGAACGAGCCCGAGCTTTGGATAGGCCCCCATGGCATGTTCAAGATCAACCCCGGCGCCGAGTGCATCGTGTGGAACAGCCTGGACGACGCGGACTCGGTCTTGCACGTATCCACCATAGTAACGGACTTGCTTTGAGATTCTAGAAAAGTAGAGATAGACACTCAAAGACTGTGGCCACACACCCCCTTGGCTGCGGCAGCAAGCTTGGCCCAACAACTGGAAAGAACCATCGGCCGAGCTCGGTGATACAAGAGATAAAAGACCATTGTTGATTGATCTAATGTCCTTGACGCGACCTGTAATCTGCTGCTGTCATAGGGGGGCGCTGTGTCACCCTGCCGCGATGAGTCTGGCTGATTTGGCCCTCGGTTACCTACATGTATGGTACCCGTCTGTTTCCAGACCAAAAGAAGGTCGGCGGGCTCCAAACCACGCCACGAACCAGGTGTCAGATGCTCGCTACGCGGACCCGTTCAACTACCCGTTACCAGGACACACACATGTCCGTCTCTCACCCGTGGTTGCTGTGTTGTGCTTCCGCGCGTACAATGGAATGCCCCTTGGTGTCGGCAAACCAGATGAACCGTAAAAGCCAATCTTCATGTTCATGACCGGGCGAGACTGGGAAAGGGAGGCAGAAGGACATGATCTTGGGTGACTCGGGCTGACAGGGCCGCTCCGTTATCCCGTCCGGGTTACCATCGACACGTCAGAGCCCCGGCCGGGAACGGGGGGCGCATACATACCCGCCTGCTGCTCCCTGGGAGAAACGTCGCACATGGGTAGCCGCAGTGTTCGAACATGTCCGTCTCTGTTCCGCCAGGGCATCGGACGTGCAAATACCAGGAATCCCGCCTTCCCAGGAGGTCGTGAACCGGCGGCTCCTTCTAGTCATCTTGTCGTCTTCCTGTGAGGCTCCGTTGCGGCTTCGAGACGGGAGGAAAGAAAAGAAAAAGAAACAGAGCAGCTACAGATTACCTACCTAGGTAGAAACAGCAGGCGCAGGGACACCCACACATGCGAGGCAGGATACCGCCTCGAACTAGACTCCAGCAGGTTTATTGGTGTAGGTTGACCCATCTCGTTTTTGGCATTTACACAAAATCACATCCAGCTGTCAACCTACCCAACACAACAAACCCACGCCAGATCCCATCCTAACAACCCCCCTTTTTTTTTGCTTCAGCCATATGGCTTCGTCATGCCGACGACGCTGTGCCCCGCGAGCAGCCGCTGATGGCGACCCTCAGGCCGACGAGCCCGGATATTGTCCGCATCTCCAGCGGCCGCAACCACATCATCCATCCACAGCCACCACCGCCATCATCAACATCAGCATTTCAACACCAAGCATCTCCATCCCCGAAGACCACCACCCCCAGCCGTGGCCCCGCCCGTCCGCCTCCTCCCCTGGCCCCCGCCTGTACTCGCCGTCTCGCGCCCGCACGGCCCGCCGCCGCCGCCACCGCCCCGCCCGCCCCGGCCCTACCACCCGGCCTGCAGCCTGATACTCGCCGAGC